TTATATGCGATTCCATTTTCATCCGACTCAATTGGCTCAACTCCGTGGCACATGCTAACCAGGTAGCAGTGTCCACTTTCTCAACCAATTCCATACCAGTACACGGATCCAGCCTCGAAGCTGCATCTGTGGAACACAACCTAATTTGGTACATACCTTTTTCAGTAATATGACCCATGTCTCGTTAACTCATATATATCCGATTCCATATTCACCCGACATAATTGGCTCAACTCCGTGGCAAATGGTAACCAGGTAGCAGTGTCCACTTTCTCAACCAATTCCAAACCAGCACAGGGATTCAGCCTCGAAGCTGCATCTGTGGAACACAACCTATTTTGGTACATACTTTTATAAGTATTGTGATCCATCTGGCACTAATTCATATGTAACCGATTAGATTTTCATCCGACACAATTGGCTCAACTACCTGGCACATGCTAACCAGGTAGCAGTGTCCACTTTCGCAACCAATTCCATACCAGTACAGGGATCCAGCCTCGAAGCTGCATTTGCAGAACACAACCTAATTTGGTACATACTTCTATAAGTATTGTATACCATTTCGGTTCCCTTTATATATATTCCATTCTGTTTTCATCCGGGTCAGTTGGCTCAACTCCGTGGCACAAGCTAACCAGGTAGCAGTGCTCACTTCCTCAACCACTTCCATACCATTACTCGGATCCAGCCTCGAAGCTGCACCTGTGGAAAACAACCTAATTGGGTACATGCTTTTATAAATACTGTGACCCGTCTCTCGAAATTTCTTTATATCCGATTCCATTATCATCCGACTCAATTGGCTGAACTCCGTGACACATGCTAACCAAGTAGCAGTGTCCAGTTTCTCAACCAATTCCATACCAGTACACGGATCCAGCCTCGAAGCTGCATCTGTGAAACACAACTCAATTTGGTACATAATTCTATAAGTACTGTGACCCATCTCCCCTTAATTTCTTTATATCCGATTCCATTTTCATCCGACTCAATTGGCTCATCTCGGTGGCGCATACCAACCAGGTTGCAGTGTCCACCTCCTCAACAATCTCCATAGCAGTACACGGATCCAGCCTCGAAACTGCATCTGTGGAACAAAACCTAATTTGGTTCATACTTTTATAAGTTTTGTGATGCATCGCCTTAATTTCTTTATATCCGATTCCGTTTTCACCCTACTCAATTAGCTCAACTCCGCGGAACATTTTAACCAGGTAGCAGTGTCCACTTTCTCAAGCAATTCCATACCAGTACACGGATCCAGCCTCGAAGCTGCATCTGTGGAACACAACCCAATTTGGTACATACTTCTATAAGTATTGTGACCCATCTCGCCTTAGTTAATATACATCCGATTCCGTTTCCATGCGACTCAATTGGCTCATTTCCGTGGCACATGCTTACCAGATAGCAGTGTCTACTTTCTCAACCAATTGCGTACCAGTACACAGATCCAGCCTCGAAGCTGCATCTGTGGAACACAACCCAATTCGGTACATACGTTCATAAGTATTGTGACCCATCTCGACTTACATTCTTTATATCCGATTCCATTTTCATCCGACTCCATTGGCTCAACTCCGCGGGACATGCTCACCAGGTAGCAGTGTCCACTTTCTCAACCAAATCCATACCAGTACACGGATCCAGCCTCGAAGCTGCGTCTGTGGAACACAACCTATTTTGGTACATACTTTTACAAGTATTGTGATCCATCTGCCACTTATTCATATGTAACCGATTACATTTTCATCCGACACAATTGGCTCAACTACGTGGCACATGCTAACCAGGTAGCAGTGTCCACTTTCTCAACCTATTCCTTACCAGTACACGGATCCAGCCTCAAAGCTGCATCTGTGGAACACAACCCAATTCGGTACATACCTTCATAAGTATTGTGACCCATCTGGCCTTATTTTCTTTATATCCGTTTCCATTTTCATCCGACTCAATTGTGTCATCTCCGTGGCGCATACTAATCAGGTAGCCGTGTTCACCACCTCAACAATTTCCATACCAGTACACGGATCCAGCCTCGAAGCTGCATCTGTGGAACACACCCAAATTTGGTACATAC